AAAAAAAGCGCCAAGGAGGGGGGCACAGACGGCAGTGCAGCATTTATCTGCCGGCTATCTGAGACCATGCACCTAATAATTTATCGTCTTATCAGGGTTTTGCGGAGAACAAATGCCAGAAACCAAATAGAGCAGCGTGCCCTGTATCTCAATTCAGTACGTATCTATCTCTTCGACTTCCTAGACTAATGTTTCTTGCTGTTAATTCATGCAATGTCTCATTACTCCTGAAAAGTACATTTTATTGCACAGGTCCTGACACATCGCTCGGGTTCTGTTTCGATGCTCTCCCTTATATACTCAGAGATTCTAAAGATGCTTCGCATGTGGGATGTCCTAAATTTCGATGTGGAAATCTTCTTTCCTGACGGCTCTCACAGTTCTCCTAGAGGATATTATCGGAAACAAACGAGCAAGGATTCTGATAATTCACATATTATGACATCACAATCTTTATTGGTGGAGGTAATTAATTATTGTCATCTGCATATATTGAAATGAGTAGTTTTGTTGATAATTATTCTCGTGTGCAGATATTGAAAGATTTAAAGAATGCTTTTTGGCCATTTCAACTTGATAATTCCATAAGTCCGTTTGCAAGGGCAGCACAAGCTGCTCAGTGTTTCACTGGATCCAATGATAGTGAAGAAAGGTATATTGTGGAAACCTTTTAAGACGAGGTTTACTTACCACATACGCTTACATAATTAAGGATGTTCTTCTTTTTATTTTTTCTTCCATGCGCTATTGTCTTTATCCATATATTTTGTGTCCATTGCAGTGCCTTGGGGCTTGCATCTGCCAAGGCTGCTCGGCATAGGATGCAACGAGGTGTTTGGACTAGTGTTCGTTTTGGAGATATGCGTCGTGCACTATCAGGTATTGATAATATTGATTTCTTATACAAATTTGGGCAGGTTCTAAATTCTAATTGAATTGATGGATTTGGAGCTAAAGATTTCAATCCATACTAATAGTTGAACCGTAGATCTATATACGTTTGGATCGTTCAATCTTTACAACAATCTATACTAATAATTGAACCATATAGATCTAAAGAATTATGTGTTCATATCAAACGTCATTTTTATTGACCGGCAGGAGTCCCAATAAGAAAAGACGGCTTATAAAGGTAGAAAGAAATATAACTACATATTATCGACAATTTTAGAAAAGTCGGCTTATAAACATCATATAATGAATGAATCGACAATTTTAGAAATCTCCGACGATGTTTGGTATGAATACAGAAGAAAGTCTCAAGTTTTTTAAAGATTATCTAATAATATCTAACACTGTCACATTACAATTATAAAAGTGATGTAAAAAATAAATACGAGACATATGGGGAATAAATATAATATTCGAACCCAAAGGAAGTCTATATGTATTTAGCCCAACTACTGAGGATTTTTTTATAATTATACCTACTTAAATTGTGCTGCAACTAAACTATGGGCAGGTGGTGCATATTTAATATAATAGCGAAAAGAGTATGAGTTACGAGACTTAAAATATTTTGTCCGACTGTTGACTTAATATATATAGTGAGGTCTGCTGCTCGTTAAACAATTGTAATTGGTTTCTATCTTACTGGTCACCTTAATCAATTTTTTTGATGCTGCTGTTCTTTCATTCTCATGTTAGCATCGGTTTTTTTAACAGCATGCGAACGCCTCATCTTACTCGAAACTGATCCGAAGGAACTAAGAGACTATGGTGTTCTTTTGTACCATTGTGGATTTTACGAGGAATCACTTCAGTACCTTAAGTTTTACCAGGTTACGAAGGTACTTACTACATATTCTCAATGATGTGTTTTTCTCAAATAAAAAAAATAATAATTACTCACTGATATATTCGTGTAATAAGCAGCAATCTGGTGCAACTAACGACTTGGAGGAAGATGCCGTAAATAAACTAATAATTCGGCTGAACCTTATTTTGATGGAAGAAGGTTGGTCTAGGCAAGCGGACATAAAAAAAGGTACGCTTTTCAAAAATTCCGAACCATGGTAGTTTTGGCGGGAAAAAATGTTGTGAAGAAACTGTAAAACGTAACTACTATAACTGATTACTTGGAGACTCGGTACCGTAAATAAATATACTTGTAAATACGACAAGACTACTACTAAACCTTAAACTACTTTTCGTTGGTGCATCTTCAGTTACCAAATAATATGTTATATAAGTGAAAATATGCTTCATATATTCATAAAAATAATGAAAATTACGTTTACACTAGAATTTGTTAGCACAACTTTTGATATATCTTCGTTTTGTAATGGTTGTTAATAGTCCCTTAATTATTTTTATTTTTTAAAATGATTAACTTGGTCTGTGTACTTGAAACTTTAATTGAAATTATGTTTGTGAACGAATACTAAACTATATCACTAATTTCACTAAACTTTGATTTGTTGCGTAACTTCTTGATTTTATTTATTTATTTTACATAATCACATTTAGAAATTCATCACATTCCAAAAATACAATACACAAAGAAAGAAAAAAAACTGATGAAAGTTTAGTTGATTACTATATATATATATATATATATATATATATATATATATATATATATATATATATATATATATATATATGTGTGAGACTAGAAAATCAGAATCCATTCACGAGAGACATAATAACCGTCTCTTGGGAGAAATATCTGCGTTCAATATTATATGT